AACTTACTAGCTGTGTGACCCTCGACAAGGCAGTTAATCCTGTTTGCCTCAATTTCCTCATTTGTCAAATGAGCTGGAGAAGGAAATAGCAAACCACTCCAGTATCTTTGTCAAGAAAACCCCAAATAGGGTCATGAAGAGTTGGACGGGACTGAAAAAAGACTGGAAAAAAAATATAATGTATTAGCAGTCTCTTTCTCTCCTCCTTCCCACTCTTACCCCTTGCCCCCAGGGGCAAGAATCACAAGAAGGACAGGACTTACACAAATGGAGACAAATCACTTAAACTTCAAGACACAAGGTTGGTAGGTAGCTTCTCCCTACCATCCATTTCAACAACTATTCTGCTCTTCTAAACGCTCTGTGAAGAAGGAGCTTAATCAGGACACCTGAGTTGAAGTCCTATCCCTGCCACTTACAACTGTGTGTGAGACCTTGAGTAAGACACTCACACTCCCTGGGCTTCAGTTACAAATATTAGTAACCTTGGAGATGGTACTTTTAATACATTGGTGGAGTTGGAAGACAGATTGAAAGGCCAAGGTTTCCAAACTTAATGTAATGACCAGTTCCTCTTCTACCCAATGTTGCTTTGGCTCATACCTTATTCAAATAAAATTAAGAATTTATTAACACTTTTACAACACACAAACAATTTTAATATAACAATAAAAGTAGCATACATATAATGCCTGGGGGCACCTACCTGCTTGCAGGTTGAGTATCCCAGTGGACAGCTTACCTGAGGTCATGGTTCTGTGTGAATTTGAAGATCTCATGTTGATTTATTTAGAATACTCCATTAAAAAAAATCCACTAAGCATTTTAGTTTCTGGGAGGAAATTTTCATTATAAAATGCTTCATCTTTATTATTATCATGGAGAAAAATGGCAATTCTTCTAGTTCAAACACTCATCCAAGTCCTTTGGCATGAGAAAACCTGTTGTGGTATCTCTCTGGGACACCCTGCCATCCACATTCAAACTAGCAGGTTGAATCCTCAAGGACTCTGTAGGTGTCTACAGGTGACTAATACTATAGTCCACAAGTTCCCGCCATACATTTACCTTTATTTCTAGTCTCAGCTAAAATCTCACCTTCTGCAAGAAAACTTTCTCCTTCCCTCTTAATGCTAGTGCCTTTCCTCTAAGATTGCCCTCCATTTACACTGTATATATTTTGTATGTACATAGTAGTTTGCATGCTGTCTTCCCCAATAGATTGCAAACTCCTTGAGCATGGACTGTTTTTACCTTGTTATCTCCACTGCTTAGCAGTGCCTGGCACATAGAGGTGCTTAATACTAGAAGGAGTAGATGCATCAATTGACATGGAAATTTTATTATAATTTTGCTTTGAAATTTTCACCATATCTCCATTTTTTATTTTTTAATTTTTTTGCTTATGGATTAAAAAAAATGTGCTGCATCAATTGACTTAGCTTGGTCCTTCAAGGTATCCTTAGATTTGAATCCTTCTCAATGTTGCTTGTCAATTTGAGTCTTGTTAGCCATAGGACACAATTTGCTCAAGACAAAGGCATTTACTGTAATGGTATAATGGTTACAGTATTTCACAAATCTGGAGAACACTTCCTACAAATAGGTATCAGAGGGAGGAGGAGACACCCACAGAGTTGGTAAATGAAGTACACACAAAGGGAATATGAGTCATGAAGATACATTGTAGTGGGGGGTGGCGGGAGACCACTGATGGTTGATATCTTCCAACTCCTGCCACTAACCTGGTTTTCCCAGGCTCTGGTAGAGTCTGATTCATTGATCAACTACCACTGCCTCCAGCTTTGGACTAAGCTAATATTGTGGTCTAGGGTACTATGATGCATTTCTGGAAGAGAATAGAGCACAAATCATAAGACTAGCAAGAATGTGATTTTTGAGGACTGCTGTCTCTTGAGTAAAATCCCCTCTCTTGGCAGCTAACACTTGATTCTTCTCCCTGACACACTTAGTTAGACTTTGCTGGACTCCCTTCTGCCCTGGACACTGGCATATGTTTCTGTTGCAAGTTGCCATTATTGTGGGGAGGGGATATACCTTTCCTTCCCAACTACTGCCATTTTATAATAGGAGCAAGGGAAAAGGTAAGGAGCCCCCTCTGAAGCTGAGTTCTTCCTCCATAGTTGTGTTCTTCTTCACTGACACAGCTGGCTAGCTTACTCTATAAATAGTCTCAAAGGTCAGGGGCAATCTTTTCAGTCCATCCCCAGATTTTGCAATAAGTATCAATTGCCTTCATTCAATGACTCATGCTCTATGATTCTACCAGTCTAAGTGAGCAACTTCCTATATCCTAAAGGAGTAACCCTTATACCTAGGGCTACACCTAGAGATGTCCCATGCCCTGACCTCATGTAGTCATGTAATTTTGTAAACAGGTTTCATTTTAATGGGGTTTAAAATTAATTACTCTTTTAACAAATTGAATAATTATTTTGGTCATTGTTTCTTAATCCCACCTCAAAAAGCATCCCCCCCAAAGTTTGGCTGAGAGATGGGGGTGTGCAGAAACAAGAAGCATTAGGGGATTCCATCTAGGACATCAACTTTTGACTCAATTCCACATTACTCTCTAATCCCCCCCCTCCATTTCCTTATTTATTTTTTATGGAATGGATATACCATAAAGGCAGTGGAGCTTTGTGGCTAGAAGACCAGTCTCCACACCAAGGAAGATCTGGGTTCAAGTCCCAGCTCTGACACATACTAGCTGCGTGACCCTAGGCAAGTCACTTTATCTCTTAGTGTTCTAGGTGACACTTCTTCGCCTGTTTCTCTGCATCCCCAGGGCACAGCAGGTATTTAATAAATACTTGTTGACTCGACACTATGAGTTGTAGAGAATGGGCTGCCTTACAATGGTAGAGGGAGTTTCCTCACCAAGTAACTCTCTATGTCAGCAATCCATTCCTCCATATACAGATAATAGGATCATGAATCCAGAGCTGGAATGGACCTAGCCCAATCCTTTATTTTAGAGATTTATTTAGACATTTTTTAGATTATTTTTAGACATATTTAGGAAACTGAGGTTCAGATTAACCACTTGACAATGTCAGAGAGGGTTGGAGGGGATCTGAAATCACATCCCCCTGATGCCCAAGCTAGTGTTCTCTCCACTGTGACATAGCTAGCTGCCTCCTATTCCATCAGGGCAGGGAAGATGTCCTTTCTTGGATAGGTTTCTGCATCCATATGCTCAGAAAAGGACATAAGAAAAGGATGAAAAATGACCTGAAGCAAAGATCCCCTTTCCCAGTTTAAACGGGCTGCCTAGAAACAAAACCAGCAGTACTAGATGCAAGGGAGAAGTCTGAATTACACACTGAAGAGTTCTGGGTCTGGAGTCAGACCCAGACTTTCAATCCTGACTTTGCCACACACAACCTGTATGCCATTGAATGAATGGCTTCACCCCTCTGGTACCAAGATTCCTCTTGGTAAAATGAGGAAACTAGATGAGATGGTTTATTCTAAGTACACCTCCAGCTCTAAATCACAGGAGTCACCTGAGTAACTAGAGAGGAGGTTTGGGATGACAAAAGAGTGCAAGACTAGGAAAGGCTCTGCTGGCCCAGGGTGAAAAAGACTGTCAGGAATTGGTTGGGGTGTCCAGACTCCACTTTGCAGCAACTGACAGAACAAGTGAGGGAGGCCATCTCTTCTCTTCCTTAGCCTCCCACTGGTTAGATGGGTGTCTGCCCTTTGGGTTGGTATCTTGTGCTGGGGAGAGGTTGCCCCAGGCTCTTCCTCCAGCCTATGAAAGCATATTAAAAGCCTCCCTCTTTAGTTCAAAGGAAATATTAAGAAATAATATTTCTCCAGCCTAAAACTCTTCCAGACTTTTCCTTCTAAGAAAGTGGGTAGAACAAAAATTAAGGTCTTTCCTAGAGGACTGGATTAAGAGTGAAAGCTAAATTTAACTCAAGTTGAGATAAGAACCTAGCATCCCTACTGGCCTGAAATGAATAGCTTACTCCTAAGGGCAGTGTCCACTTTTCCATTGATGATATTTTTGGGGTTTTTTTGGGGGGGGCTAGGCAATGGGTTAAGTGACTTGCCCAGGGTCACACAACTAGTAAGCCTCTGAGGTCAAATTTGAACTCAGGTCCCCCTGACTGCAGGGCTGGTGCTCTATCCACTTTGCCATCTACCTGCCCCCTCCACTCTTGATTAAGGTATTGATGGAAGCTAGGAGGGAGAGGAGGGGGGAGTAGGAAGTTACCTTTTTCAATCCTTGAAGGGAATGGTCCAAGAAGGAACTGGGTAATGACTATTCTGGCATGTTAACCCAAACTGTGTTTTAACATATTGTGATCATCTCCTTGTTCAAGATTCCTATAAATTCTACCTCATGTTATCTTGTGGTAAACAGACGTGTCAGGAGCTGTACCAATTTGGACAGCTCTCTCTCCAAGCTACAAACTACAGTCCTTCATAACTTGGCCCCCTCCTGTTTCTCCAGTCTCCTGACATTTACTCCCCTCTGCATACTATTCAGTCTAGCCTCCTGGATGCCCCTTGTAGGAGATGCTCCATCTTTGGACTCTGCATTTTCATTGGCTCTCCCTCCATGCCTGGAATGCTTTCTCTCTTCATTTCATCCTCTTGCCTTCCTTAAATTCAAGTTCTACGTTCTACAAGAAGGCCCCTTAATATTAGCACTTTCTCTTTGTGATTACATATATGTATATAGATAGTGTGTGTGTTACACGTACACATACATAGTTTGTATTAGAATGTACAGTATTTTTGTTTTTATTTTTATTTTTTCCTTTCTGTGTACCCCTAGTGTTTGGTACCTGGCCTGACACATAGTAGGAATTTAATAAATGTTTGTTGACTTCGCTACAGAGTGTTAAATGAAATACAATTCTTTCTGGCCTACTTGTGTATAAAAGGCACAGTATTGACATTTTCCTTTAACAACCCCAGAGCCGTCCCCGCCCTGCAACTCCCCCCCACCACGTGATTTCCCGTAACTCTTCGGTTCTCCTCCCCTACAGCTAGTTTCGTTTCTCTCTCCTCTGAAGCCATCCTGAAACTGTTTTCTTCCTTGAAGGCGTCTAGAGAGGATCTCGATGGCCGAGCTGCAGCCCCTAGCCGATGAGCTGACCTGCTCCATCTGCCTGGAGATCTTCCAGGAGCCCGTCACTACCCCATGCGGCCACAACTTTTGCTGGCCCTGCCTGGACGAGACGTGGACCGGCCAGAGCTTCCAATTCTCCTGCCCCCAGTGCCGAACACTCTTCCAGGAGAGGCCACAGCTGAAGAAGAACACGGTGCTGTGCGCAGTGGTGGAGCAGCTGCAGCAAGCGCAGAGCCGCTGGGATTGGGGGCAGCCCCACAGTGCGTCCCAAGATGGCGAGCCCTTGGACCTGCCGTCGGCGAAGGATGAAGCGGCGGGGATCGTGGCCTGTGACTACTGCTTCCAGGCTCCTGCGGCCAAGACGTGCTTCACCTGCATGGCATCCTTCTGCCAGGAGCACCTGCGTCCGCACCTGGACAACCCCACGTTCCACGGCCACGAGCTGCAGGCGCCCGTCGGGGACCTGGCCAGTCGCAAGTGCCCTGAGCACAGCCGCTTGCGTGAATTCTTTTGCTCTCAGCACGGCGTCTGCATCTGTTGCATCTGCCTGGTAGAGCACAAGACCTGCTCCCCGGTGGCCCTGGACGTGGCCACGACCGAGCTGAAGGTGGGCAGAGGGGGAGCGGGGAGAGGCACGGTGGGGGAAGTCCTGGGCTCCATGTAAGCCTGAGCCTGGGCTCTAGCCTCAGGCCCTTGCGGGAAGCCCGGTTTAGCTTCAATTTCCCTGTGCCAGGATTAGTTTCTCTCCCCTGGGGTTTCGGGCTTTCAAGGGGAAGAACCTGTAGTTGAGCCAAGAAACAGATAGGCGGCTTGTGCATGTGGGAGAGAGAGGCTGAAGCATCTCGGAGACCCTGGGCTGGGCAAAGGTTGTTTGGGTTCCTTTTCTGTGTGAGCGTGTTGATTTCTTGGTCTGCAGAAAGAGGCGAAGTAATCCTGTCCCGTGCCCAGACTTGTTAGGAGGAAAAGCGACAGTCAACGTGAGAGGGCTTGCTTGAAGAGTAGTTTTTTTGGGGTTCAAGCCCTGCTTCCTATATGGTGGCCGTGTGACCCTGGGCAAGTCACAGTGCCCCAGGTAACTTATAGAGTTCGTGCTGTTTTGCTTTGATCGAGGGAGATTCCTTCCCCAGAATTCTCTCAGAGAGGTGCTGGGTGGATCCTGAGGTCTCTTCCTATCTGTGAGACAGTATTGCTAAACCTAGGAAATCGAAGGTCCCGAAATTATTTAAAAAAGTATGGTGGGGGAGTGACGAGAAGGTCTCCTCTCAGTTTCCTTGAGACCCTGATAGAAGTGACTGCCCTAAAATCATGAAGCTGAGATAAGAGGGTCATAGATCTTAGCAGATCAGGACCTGAGGTCAAAGTGACTTGACCAGGGTGACCAAGTAGTAAATGTTTGAGGAGACATTTGAACCCAGATCCTCTTACTTCGAAGCCAAGGCTCTTTCTCCTGTGGCTTTCAATTTTCTCACTTGTAAAATGAGGGGGTTAGCTTAGGTGATCTCTAAGGCTCCTTCCAGCTCTAAATCCTATGATACAGGGTCCATCAGCCCTACTGTGAATCTCTCTGTCTGTCTCTCTGTTTCTGCCTCTCTGTCTCACACTTTGTTTCTGTCTCACTGTCTCTTTGTCTATCTCTCTGTCTCTCTGTGTCTCTGTTTCTCTACCAGGCCAAAAAATGCCTTAAAACTTCTCTTTTTTTTTTTTACATGATCTGTTGTATCTTTCGGTAAAAATGTATGCTCCTTGACAGCAGGAACTCTTTGTTGTTGTTGTTTTTCTTTGCATGTGAATCTCCTAGGATGTATATATAGTAGTAGGGATCTAATAAATTCTTGAATTGAAGGTGATTAGGTCTTTGAAGCCCAAGGCATTTTTGCAAACATTCTTTGAGCCTTATGAACTCTAGTCATCATCTTCCCTCCCTTTTTCCTTTTCAAAAATATTTTACTCTTTTAACAAATTCATTTTTAAAATTTTTAGTTCTCAAATCTCTTCCTCCTTCTCTGAAACCCATTGAGAAGGCAAACAACGATACCTATTATACTTGTGAAGTCATGCAAAGCATACCTTTTTCTATTTAATGATGAAAATTGGTTCCTCCACACACATTCCTTCTTCCTTAATCTCAATCTTCTTGGGGTTTTGAGGAGGTTTTTGGTGGCCGCATTTAAAAAAAATAACATTTGATTTTTCTCCCAGTTGTACGTAAAGATAGTTTTTAACATTTGTTGTTTTGGGTTTTTTTTGAGTTCCTAATTTTGTCTCTTCCTTCGTCACCTCCCTCTTCCCTGAGTTGGTAAGCAATTTGATGTAGGTTATACACGTTCAGTCCTGCAAAACATATTACAAAATTAGTCATGTTGTGAAAGAAGACACAGACCCAAAGGGGGAAAAAAACCCACGAAAAATACAGAAAAGTGAAAAATAGTAAGCTTGCATCTGCATTTAGAATCAATCAGTTCTTTCTCTGCAGGTGAATAACATTTTTCATCATGAGTCCTTTGGAATTGTCTTGAATCATTGTATTGCTGAGAATAGCCAAGTCATTCACAGCTGATCATTGTACAGTATTGCTGTTACTGTGTACGATGTTCTCCTGGTTCTGCTCAATTAACTTTGCATCAGTTTGTACAAGTCTTAATAGGTTTTTCTGAAATCAGCCTGCTCATCATTCCTTACAGCACAGTAATATTCCATTATACTCATATACCACAGCGTATGCAGCCATTTCCCAATTGATGGGCCTCCCCTCGATTTCCAATTCTTTGCCACTACAAAAAGTGGTTGCATTTTAAAATTTTGAATTCCAAATTCTCTCCCTTCCTTTCTTCTTCCTTCCCCTCTCCTTGAGAAGGCAGATGATTTGATGTAGATTAGACATATGTAGGTCATGCTACCAAAGAAAACACAGACAAAAAAAATAATCTGTAAAATAAAGGAGATTAGATGTTCTTTAAAGTTGCTTCCAGCTCTAATATTCTAATTGTGATATATCCAAGGTAGTAGCAGACCACCTCTGTGTCCAACATTCTGTCTTCTCAAGTCCCTGACCACATAACATGGCTTCTGAGTTCCCTTCTAGCTCTGTGGTTCTGTGATTGCCTATTTGGGGCTGAGGCTTTACCCAAGAGACAGGTTTTTTTGGTTAATCTAATAGGGCACCATCCTATAATTTGGGCTTTAAACAGTACACTTCTCAGTGACCTGTGTTTTCTGAATAACTCTATCTCCCTACTGTTATCATGTCAAATTTGGCTTTAAGGTCTGGCTCTGGATTTTGGACTGAGTTAAGGAAGGTTAACATTGCCAGTCAAACAGGTGAAATGAAGTTATTTCCTGGGTGCCTAAGAGGTCGTATGCAACCTTATTGTCAAATGCTGACCTCTTCTCCCATCCACATTTCTGTGTCCACAATCTGAGTTTGGAATCAGGTTTTCCATGAACTTGCTATGTGACCTTGGACAAGTCACAGTAAGAGTGGGAGAGGTGCAAGTAACCTTAGATATCTTGGAGTTGGAGGAATCTTAACCTTTCTTTATGTATAGCCCATGTATAAGCCTGTGTACCCCTTCTCAGAATAATGTTTTTTAATTCATAAAATAAAATATAATACATAGGATCATTAAAGAAACCAGTTATAGAGAAATATAGTTACCAGACTATTAAAAGAATAAGTTCACAGACTCTGTTAAAAACACCTTATTAGGTCTAATTAAATCTAAATTTCCCCATTTTGCAAGAGAGACTACTGAGACCCAGAAAACTGAAATGACCTGTCCAAGGTCTTACACTAAGTTAGGAACTCTGACTATGTTTCTTCATCTGTAAAATGAGAGAGGTAATCCGTACCTATATCACAAGATTGTTTGGGAGGTGAAAATGAGTCACTTAAAATGAGAGATGAATTCTTTTTAAAATTAAATTTTTTGCTGGTTTTTAAAAAATTATTAATTTTTTATTCTGAATTTAGGAAAAAAGCAACTAAAGTGATCATTTCCATATATGTAGAAGAACAGAAAAAGAGAATTGGCATAGAAAATTAGTTCTTTACAAATGTATAGCGTTTGGGATACAGCAAGGGCACCTGGCAGCTTCTGGGAACATCATGGGAGTTGGGCTGAGGAACACTGCCAGTCAATCACTTGAATTTCTCTCACCCTGTTGTTTTTAATTGCAGTCTAAGATGAAGCAGAAGCTGACAACCGTATATGGTCATATCAATATGGCTTCAAGTGCCTTGAGAGATGTAAAGTTGAAACAGCATGCAGTCCAGGTAAATAGGCAATGCCTTTACCAGTCATCCAAGCTTAGATGACTTAGCTCCCTGACTCCCAGCTGTCCCATTTTAGTGGAGATATGACAAATTGGGAGCATGCCCAGCAGCTTCTATCTAGGATTAGAGAGACCCATGCCTGAAACCTTCTGATTCTAATTTGAAGATTAAAATTTCCAAATATTTGGAGGTCTACCATGGGGAAGATGGATTAGACTGATTCTGTTTACAAGGAGAGGGCAGAACTAGTGGTTAGAAGAGGCATAATTCAGCTCACTGTCATTCGAGTCCACTAATAAGAACTTTGCACCAATTAAAGTCATCTGTCAATGTAACTGGTTGCTTTGTGAAGCATTAACTTCCCCATCCCTGGGTATGTTCCAACAAAGCCCCAAAGACCAATTTTTGGAGATTGTTGTAGAGTGGGGAAGGTTGGATTAGATGACATCTAAGGTCCTTTTGAACCCAAAGATTCTATGCTTCTCTAGGTCTTACAAGTCATTCCAACCCTCCTTGAGAGCGAAGAATCAAAGTTGAGCTTGGAAATCCTAGTTACATGTCAAATAGGGAATCATTTCAATGATTGATTTAAAAGGTAACCTTGGAGTCTTGCACCCAGTTCTCCCTCTGACTGCTAAGTAGAGATATTGACAAATTGGGGGGCATGGCCAAAGGTTCACATCCAGGATTAGAGGGACCCATACCTGAAGCGCAGTGATTAGAGGCTTCAAATATTTGGAAGTTTACCATGGGGAAGATGGATTCAATTGATTCCATTTGCAATCAGAGGGCAGATGTAGCCCTTAGCTTGTGTTAGGTTATCTAGCACTACTCTAGTGAAATGACTGTTATGGGATAAGGGAAGAGCTCTGTAGAAGCACTGGGACTGTTCATCTTATTTAAAGCCACTCCAAGTTAAAATCTTTCTTTGGATCCCTTAGGATACAGCAGCTAGAAAGATGGACTTGTTGAAACGTGAATATGAAGAAATGAAAGTCCTCATTGACTCAGAGGAGAAGAGTGCTCTAAAGAAGCTGAAAGATGAAGAAAAGAGAGTTTTGGACAAATATGACCATATTCATCAGGTCCTGCTCAAGAAAAAAGGGGAAATTGAGTCTATAAAAGAAGAGATTGAACGTTTGCTCACGAAAAATGATGAGATTGCCTTTTTGGAGGTGAGTCCTCATTGAGTCAATCCACAAGGGCTATATTGAATGCCTGCCTTGTCTCTTATTGGGCCAGCTGTTCCTCTGTTTCCCCCCTTTAAGGAGTATCACTGTTGCTGTTCTAGAACTGTGATTTCATCAGAGCAGGGAACTTCCAATGTGGAAATACACAATGTAGATGAGCAAGTAAGTGATCTATAATTCAGCCTCAGAGAGTTACACTGAGAAGTATGTGTCAGGGGAAGGCCAGCTCTCTGGACATTTTCTATTATATGTTGTCTTTTCCCATTGCAATGTAAACTGCTCCAGGGTAGGGACTGTCTTTTTTCTTGTATTTGTATCCCCAGCCATAGTGCCTGGCATTAAATGCCTGTTTCCTTAGTGTGCCTCACTGCCTCCCTAGCCATTATAGGGTGCTAAAAGTATATGAGAACATGGAGCCTGCCCTTCAAAAAAAAAAGTTTTACTGATTCATCTTATATTTATGCCATTATCATTTCAATATCCCCTCCATTTCTCCTGATTGAACCCTTCCTTATGACAAAGAAAAACCAGTTAGTAGATGTGCCAATTATGAGCAGCTTGGTGGCACAGTGGATACAGTACTGGGCTTAGAGTCAGGAAGACTCATCTTCCTGAGTTCAAATGTGGCCTATGACAACTTACAATCTGTGTGACCCTGGGCAAGTCACTTAACCCTGTTTACCTCAGTTTCCTCACCTGTAAAACAAGCTGGAGAAGGAAACGGCAAACCACTCCAGTATCTTTGTGAAGAAAACCCAAAATGGGGTTATGAAGAATCAGACCTGACTGAAAAATGACACACAATCATACCTAATACAGCAACTGGCCCTGTTAATGCATACAACATTCTATCCTAGTGGTGTTCTGCCTCTCACTCTACTGGGAAGAGGTAGGTATATTATCTCTTCTACTGCACTAGATAAAACTTTGGACACAGAATCAGGAAGCCCTGAGTTCAAATACAGCTTCACATACTTCCTAGCTGTGTGACCCTGGGAAATTCACTTAACCACTTTCTATCTCAGTTTCCTCACCTGTACAATGGTAATTATAATGGCACCCACCTCAGGATTGTTGTGAGGATAAAATGAAATAATGTTTTGAAAGCCCATTGCAAACCTTAAAGGAGTATCTAAATGCTAGCTATTATATTATTATTATTATTTTTCAGTTACTTAGAGTTCTACTTCCTTTTAATTTTCTCTCCGTTTGTATTGTTGTAGGCATGTGCATGTGTTGCTCCTGATTTTACTCCTTTCATTCATCATCAGGTCATACAAAACTCCCTGTGTTGCCTTTGATTCACACTTATCATTTCTTACTGCACAACACTGTTCCATTGCATTCCTGTAGCCTTTCTCCAATGAGTACTTATTTTTGCTTTCAGTTCTTTGCTATCAGAGAAAAGGCTGCCATGAACATTTTGTACATGTTGACCCTTTATTTCCGACTTTGAATTTCTTGGGCTTATTGCCCAAGGGTCTCTGGGTCAAAGGGTTACAGCTCCACCAACAGCATGTTAGTATACTTGTCCTCCCACAGCCCCTCCAATACTGAATCTTTTTTTTTTAATCATTTTCTCCAATTTGCTTGACATGAGATAAAGCCTCAGAGTTGTTTTAACTTGACTTTTTCTTACTATTTAGTGATTTGGAACATATTGTCAAGTGGTTACTTAGAGTCTGCAGTTTTTCTTTTAAAAACTTTCTAGCCTTTGACCACTGGTCTATTAAGGAGAAAGGCTCTTGATATTATACGTCTCTGTCCAAATCCTTTGATTTGGAATGTTATTGAATAGTCAGAAATGAGGACTGTGAGGAGTTCAGAGACATATGGGAAAATCTGCATGAAGATGATGTGGCTGGAGGACTCTCCTCCCTTTTCAGTATCTGCCTGGTTTGTCCTCATCCTCATCTACCATCCTTCCCATGTGGCTCAGTGATAGAACTTTACTAGGGAGCAGCAAATGAAGGTCCTTCCCACCTCCACACACATGCCCTTCTGCCTTAGTTTAGATGTCGTTTCATTTGATCCTTGTAATTATGGCGAGGACGACCCACAGACTGATTTGTCCCAGGCCTTACACTTCCCTAGCATGGAATTCAGTTCTGTACTCCCCACACCCTAGCAAACGCCCTGCCTAAACTCAGCCAAACGTTTCCTTTCAGTTTTTCTAGGAGTTGGGGAGAAGTGGAGGGTCTCCCACAGTGGTGCACTTTCACCTGGTTTCCCCTTGTGGCCAAGGCATACATGTGCATGAAGGTTTGATTATGTGAGAGATAGTGTGGTACAATGAAAAGAGAGCTGACCCCAAAGCCAGGAAGATGTGGATTCAGGTTCTGCCTCAGACTCATACTGGTTAAGTGACTTTGCAGGGCTCTAGGCAACTCTAAGCCTATAAGATGCAAAGCAGGTGCTGATCTGCGTTGGTAGAGGTCTTTCTTTAAGTAGGAGTTCCCTATACCGTGAAATCCCAGGCTGAGTCCCTGTCTCAGGTTCAGGGTGTCACCTGTGACATGGCAAAGCTACCTAGACCTGAAAGGATGAACTCTGGGATACTGGGCAAGTTGCTTTAGCACCTTTGGTCCAATTCAATTCAAGAAACATTTGGTCAGGGTTATGGCTACCAAAATGACATGCTTGCTCTCAGTGAGTTGGTTGTCTGTTGGGTGGGGGGAGGAAGATATATGTACAAAAAAAGTGTAATTGGAGGTTATCTGAGGAAGGAGACGACTGACAATGGAGGGATCAGGGAAGCTTTCATGGCAACTGAACTGAGCTTTGAAGGAAGTCGAGGATGCTGAGAGGAGAGTGGAGGAGGGAGTGCATTTAAAAAAGATGTATTTTATTGCTGTTCTTTTACATCTATGTTCCTTCCCACTGACAGCCTCCCTTGTAACTAATCAGAATATTGAGCAAAATACAATGGCCACATCAGAATATACTTCCCGTATTGCACACCTCTGGTCCAGTAACTCCTGGAGGAAAGATGAAACTCATACTTCACCCACAGCCCTCAGAGGTCATTTTTGGTCACTACTTTGATCTGCCTTTTGGAATCTTACTAAGTGCCCTCCTCTCCCTTTCCATTGTTCTCCTGGTCCTACTTATTTCATTAGGCTTCTCTTTAAGGATTGGTCATTTCATACAGCCCATTCATAATTCACTTCATTTGTACATGACATTTTACTCATTCCCCAGCTATTGAATATCCACTTTGTTTCTGCTATAATAAAGAAGTGTTGCTCTAAACTTTTTTCTATACCTGGAATCTTTGGAGGGAATGCATCACAAGCATGAGAGCTAGTCATTTGTAAAAACATGGAGGAAGCAGGAGATGAAATGTGGAGGTCAGGAACAGCTATACTTGAACACAAAGAGTTATTAATGGAGTAGAATAGTTTGAGATAAGGCTGGAAAGGTAGGTTGGAGCCAGATTATTTAGGACTTTCAAAGGCAGGCTAGGGAGTTTATAAGCAATGGGTAGCCACTGAAGGGTTTTGAACAGGGAAGTAATATGGTCAGGCCTATGCCACTGGGAGATTATTTTGGCAGCTATATGAAGGGTGATTTGGAGAGAGGAATGATTGAAAACTAAGCAACCTATTAGGAAGCTATTATAAAAGTTCTACTAAGAAGTGTTGAAGGACTGAAGTTCTGTGTGTATGGAAGAGAAGAAAGGATGCATGTGAGAGATTGTGGAGGGCTAGGTGTAGCAACTTTTTGCATATAGGATAGGGGGCAAGGAGAGGCATGCAGCAAACATGACTTCTAGGCTGCAAAACTACATGGTTTCAAGGGAGCCTTTGAGATGTTTCAGTGCATAACCCTCATTTTCAGAAGGGAAAACAGGTCTAGAAATGTTCAGTGAGAGGGCTGAGCTAAGTGGTGCTTCATCATGGTCCCTTTTGTGATTCTCTGTAGCTTAATCTCGTGCACTTTTCCTGGGCTAACCACCTGCCTTGTTTTAGAAAGCCTCAAAGCTGCAAGAACTTGTCATCAGGGCTGTGTATGTACCAAAGAATGAATTAGACCAAGAGATGATCCACAATGTTTATCAAGGTGCCTACTCCCTTAAAGACTTTTTAAAACAGAAAATAAACAACCTTCAAGAGAAGAAAACAGAGGAGGCTACTAGTCCAGGTAATTACTTAAAAACAAACAAACAAGTATTTTGATCTTAAGAAACACCAAATCCAACTGGAGTTTCTATATTCATAGTAGGATAGAAAAATATTTATACATTTAACTACAGACATTAATTATACATAGCTTGCTTTTCTTTTTTCAAGGTGGTTTTCAAAGCTGTTCTGCTTACCTGCTGGCCTTACTTCTGTTTTCTTCTGCACACTGAAAAAAATAGTTAAATGATTCTTTTTTTCATTTTGCTACCTTTTTTGTGTGTGTGTGGGGGGACCCTAGCCCTAACCGCTTCTTTCTCCTTCTAAGCCCTATTGGAGATTTAAAAAAAAGAAAAGAAAGTCCTTCTGACATTTATACACAGCCAAGCAAATCAAATTCTCACATTTACTGTGTCTGAAAATATATGTCTTACTATTCAGCTTGAGTCCCTTATTTTTCTGTCAGCAGGTAGGTAGCATACTTCCTTATCAGTCTTCTGGAATTGTGATTGATGCATTGATCAGAGTCCCGAAGTCTTTCAAAGGTGTTTTTCTTTATACTAATGTTGTTATTGTAAAAAAAAAATGTTCTGTTCTGCCCTCTTCACTCTGCATCAGTTTATATGAATCTGGAACTATCCCTGTCATCATTCCTCAGTAGCCCCAGAATTACTAGTCATTATATTTGGGACAAAAATTCTATTCTGGATGGTAGGGTGGAGATAGTTGGGGGTTATGGTGAGTAGTTTTGGGGAGAACTGAAACATCCTCTCCATACTGGACAAGTTGGGGAAGGAAATGAGAGTTGATACCTTTTCAAAACCCTTTTCTCCTCCATTGTCTCTGCATGCTGTTTAAAGCCAATAGCCAGGTTCTACTCTACTTTTCTACCCTTATTACACATTGTTCCCTTTCTCATATTCTGCATGAAGAACTGGCCTTCTCCCAACTCTCAACTCTCTTCCTTTGCATAGACTGTACCCCATGTCTGCAATATATTCTCTCCTCATCTCCAACTCTTAGAATCCCTGTCTTCCTTCAAAACTTAGTTGAAATATCTTCTACACCTTCTGTGTTAGTTCCTTCTTAATTAACATTCCCCTTCCTCTCTCCTCAATTACCTTGTATTTTAAAGAATCACAGAATTTTTGAGCTGGAGTACCCTTGGTGGCTGTCTAGACCAACCCATACATTAAAAAATCCTCTGAGGAAAATTAAAATTAATACTACTTTGATTCTATAATGTTTTGATTTTATATTGTAATTGGATCTATATCTGCCTAAAATTACCTTCCCATGTCCTTCAGTTGTGGTTTGAGTTAAAGTTATGACTTAAAGAAAAGTTGTTTTCTCTGATACAGGTAGCCCCTAGGATACTTCCATGACATCTGTTTGTTATATTCAAGCCCCACAAGTTAACTTGGCACCATCCTGCAAAGATATGTCTTCAGTCCTTGGATGTCCTTGTGCAATTAGGGGAGTTTTTCTCTTTTCCAAGGAGACTGCAAATAGTTTTGATTCCCTAGCAAAGATTGCAAGATGCAGATGGGTCCCATTGAACAATGAACACTCCTTAGTTGTCAAAGAGGGGCAATGATTAGCCTCATGTGAATGGCAACCCACCTTTTTCAGTTTAGCCAATTGTAATGCTCCTGTCTCAGCCCTACAACCTCTCACTTCTTCTCTATGCCTATCAAAACCTTTTCTTTGTTGCATATCATAAAGAGGTCTCCTCCTTCTTACTGAGGTTGCCAGTTAGACCCACTTTTTAACAGCTGTGTACCTCAGTTTATCTTTATTAATTTTATTTGCCACACCCTAATATAAAATACCCAACAAGTTGTCAGCTAATCTTTACTTGAAGACCTCCAACGAGGGGACATTCCACTCTTGGACAGCTCTAATTATTGTGAAGTTTCTCTTTGCAGTTTCCAACCATTACTTCTGATGCTTCCCTCTAAGGCCAAATAGAGTAAGTCTAATCCCAGCTAGGTGGTGCGGTGGCTAGAGTGCCCAGCCTGGAGTCAGGAAGACTCATCTCCCCAAGTTTAAATCAGGCCTCAGACGCTTCCTGGCTCTGTGATCCTGGGCAAGTCACTTAACCCTGTTTGTCTCAGTTTCCTCATCTGTAAAATAAACTAAAGGAGGAAATGACAAACCACTTTAGCATCTTTTCCAAGAAAACCCCCAAATGAGATGGATAAGACTGAACAAGAACAAAACAACAAATCCTTCCTCCATGTGACAGCCCTTCAGATGCTGGAAGACAGCTATCATGTTCTCCCTGAGTCTTCTCCATACTAAATATTACCAATACCCTGAACTGATCCTCCTAAGAAATGGATTCAAGGCCCTGCATTATCCTGGTTCCTCTCCTCTGGACTCTCTCCAGCTTACCAATGTTCTTCTTAAACTGTGGCAACAAGAACTGAACACAGTATTCCAGATGAGGTATGACTAGGGAATTGCACAGTGGCCCTATTATGTCCTTATTCCTAGATGCAGCCCAGGATTACATTAGCTTTTTTGTCTCCCACATCAATCCTATTGCTGACTCATGTTAAGCTTTTGGTCCACTGAAATCCCCAGATCTTTTTAAGAATAACTTCTGTCTAACCATGTCTCTCCCATCTTGAACTTGTGAGATTTATTTTTTGATCCAAGTACAGGGACTTTTACCTTTATCTTAATTGAATTTCATCTTATCAGATTCAGCCCAATATTCCAGGCAGTCCAGCTTTTTTTTTTAAGTCCAGATGGTTTTGAATCCTGATTCTATCATTCAATATCCTAGAGATCCCACCTAGCTCTGTATTATCTTTGTGCAAAGTTTCATGAGCATTCCATCTATGTTGTTATTGTTTCACCATTTTTCAGTCCTGTTGGACTCTTTTGACCTCATTTGGGGTTTTCTTGGCAATGATACTGGAATGCTTTGCCATTTCCTTCTCCAGTTCATTTTATAGATGAGGAAACGGAGATAAACAGGGTTAAGTGACTTGCCCAGGGGCATACAAGTAGTTTCTGAGCATTCCATCTATACGTTTAACTGAATCACTGGTAAAAATGTTAACTAGCACAGGGCCAAATTCAGATTTATGGAGTTCTCTCTTGGAGACCTTCTGCCATAATGATATTGAACTATTAGTAAATATTCTTTGAGTCAGGCCATCCAATAAGTTATGGATCCATGTAATTGCCTTCTTGTCTGGTCCCTTTCTCTCCATCTTTTCCACAAGAATAGTATGAGCAAAGGTGTGCTGATAATTGTGTGACCCCTAGCAAGGGGCTGGGAAAGGAAGAGGATGTTTAACTTAAATTATTCACATTTTCTCCATCATCTTCAGCCTCAAGACTAACAAAACACAAAACCAACCTTGATTTGTAGTGTTTGCCTATTTTTGAAGTGTGAATGTTCACACTGACAATTTAACAGTTGCCTCTTGTTAGCTGATTAGAGCTGGCTCCAGCATGCCCCTGAATATGAAGCACTTTATGAAGAACTTTACCAACATTCAGGGAAAGTATGTCTATGCTATTCCTTTCATCTACTTGTTGACATATTCTGATGACAAAGGAAAAGAGGTTATTCTGGCATGACCTGTTCCCCTAGGGGGCAACCTGGCCTTTTGAAATCATTACTTCCCTTTCTAGAAATTCATGGAATCTTTAATGAGTTTCCAAGAATTTCCCCAGGAGTTGAAATGAGTTTGTAGACTCTGTTCTCTTCCCTTTTTTCTTTTTTTTTTTTTTGAAAACTGGGATAATATTTGCCATTCTCTGACCCTGCAATATCTCTCCTATTTCCTGTGATCTTTCAAATATTACTGACAGTGGAAAATCAAGCATGCCTGCCAGTTCTTTTATTAGCAAAGGATATAGTTGACTGATGCCAAGTGATGCTTATTCATCAACATCAGCTAAGTTTCTCCAACCATCATCTTACTCATCTTGGGTATCAGTTCCTTTTCACTCATTTTTGCTTCATCATTTCCACTGTAAAGGTCATTGCCCTTTACAGAGAAAAGAGAAGTGATATATGCATCAATCAGCTGTACTTTCTCTCTGCGGTTAATTATCGTTGCATTTACCCTCGAGTAAAGGTTTTATCCCATCTTTCATCCTAATTTAGGTTTTTTATTTTTTTAAACCCCCTCCTTTTTTTTTCTTTTCCTTTTTCTTTTTTAGCATTTCTCATCAGCCTCAGCTTGTTTTGAACTTTAGCTCATATGCTACGGAGTTGTTTTTTTTTATGATCTGTTTCACACTTTTGTGTGTATCTTCTGTTACCTGACCTTGCTTCTTATTTCTGTACTCTGCCCCCCATCCCCACCTCCAAACCTCACTTGTTCAGTGAGTTGTCTCTGCATCCACATCAGTCTCTTTAGACCAGTCCCATTTTTTTTCTCATCATTAGAACTATTTCCCTTTGTATCTTGAGAATTTCATCCTTGAGAATCTTTTCCTTGGGCTGATTTTCCTTGTATCATTTTACTCCATGGGACCTTACTCGTTTTTCCTTTGGAGACATTAAAATCTGCTTTCGCCAGATCCAGGGTGCATGGCAGACTATGCCTGCATCTCCTCTCCTTCTCCGTTGCAGTCTCTTAGGTATATTCATTTCTCCCTTAGCATTCTTATTATTCCCTCTCCAGTAACTGGTTACTTCCCGTTTGGGAGAATCAGATCCAAAATAGAATTTCCTCTTGTTGTTTCTTCTACTTCGTGAAGAATGAAATAAATTGTACTTTGGCAAATCAAGAACATATTAACTGCTCTGCTTCTGGCAGAGCCTTAGAGTTCCATCAGATGTCTGGATAATGGTAGTGCCCCAATCACTACTATATCACGCCTCTACACCAGGCTTGTGATGTATTTCTGTGCTTCTTGTCCATTTCTCTTTCCATCCAGGTGGTCTGTATTATACTTCAGTGACAAAATCATTCTTGTTTCTCCCTCCGTTGAACTTCACCAAATACATTCTGTCATGATTCCATCCCCCTGCTCCTGTATTTCCTCATATGAGTATATCTTTTCAATATTCAGTGTTACCACCTCTGTCAACCTTTTACCTATTCTGTTTCTTTTGGAATGAAATACACCTCTCCAGAGCCTCAGTCCACTCATGGGTTTTAATCTCCCAATTCTCAGTGATATTTTCGAAGTCAAATTTATGTCCTTGCATTAGGACTTCTGTTGCATTTTGCTTGTTGCCTAAACTTTGGGCATTAAACATTTGAGGCCACAGGTTTTGCCAAAGGATCTGTTCTTGTCTTTTGGCTCCTATGAACTTCAGGGTGTTGAATTGATTCTCTCCCTTTTTCATAGCTCCACCCTGTGTTATCTAGCTTGAGGGATGTCTGCTTCCTCCCCCTCCCTTTTAGTTTAAAGCTCCTGTGATTAAATCGGCAAGACACTCAGCCAATTTCCAGGCAGCTAGATAACTCAGTGGATGTAGCACTGGTCCTGGAGTCTTCCTGACTTTTTGAACCTGAGTTCAAATCTGGCCTCAGATATTCACTAGCTGTGTGACTCTTGGCTGGTCACTTAATCTCTGTTTGCCTAATCTACTGGAAAAGAAAACGGCTGACTATTCTAGTATCTTTGCCGAGAAAACCCCACACAGGGTCATGAAGAGTTAGACGTGCCTGAAGAGCAACTCCATTGTGGCCCAGAAATCTCTTGTCTACGTATTTTAGGCCACGCTCAAGAAGCCCAGATTTCATTTGCAGACGCTACCTTCTTAGCCAGCTGTTGATAGCTCAAATTAATTTTTTTTCTTTTGCATCGCTTTCATTCAGGGGACAGCAGTGAGGAAAACAAACTGAGGCCGCTTCAGTTTATTGATAATCACTGACAGTGACTTTTTAGGCTACCGTTTGATGTTGTTGCTGTTGTTTCAGTCACGTCCGACTCTTCCTGACCCCATTTGGGGTCTGCTTGGCAAAGAGACTGGAATGGTTTGCCATTTCCTTCTCCAGCTTATTTTATGGATGAGGAAACTGAGGCAAACAAGGTTGAGGGACTTGCCCAGGGTCACACAGCTAGTAACTATCTGAGGCCAGATTTGAATTCAGGTCTTCCTGACTCCAGGTGTAGTGCTCTATCTACTGTGGCCACCTAGTTGCCCATAGTACCATTTGTGCCCATATTAATCTCCAGAAGTTGTCATCTGTTTTGATGAATCTTGGGAGTCTTTATGGTAGGTCTTCAACCCTTTCTTTTCTTGTTACCAGGTGGATAAGTAGCTGCCTCCATACCCCGAATTGGGGATTCACCTACTATTACTACAATTACTATTATTTGTCACTTCTTCTATGACCCTTACTAAATATCTCATCTGGTAGCTTTGGTGGCTCTACTCTACCATCTTATACAGGACTAATTGCAGGGAATCACTACCTTCGATTACTCTCTGATTCTCCCTCAATCTTTTACTTATTTACATTGTATAGACTTTATTTCTGCCTATATGTTTGCATTGTCTTCCACCTGATAGAGTATCAGCTCCACAGAGAACAAGCCAAGCACAGTTTCACTAATGTATCTGTATCCTTGGTGCCAGGTGAATAAGAAGTGCTTGATGGTTAATTGATAGCCCCGCTCCTGATCTCTCTTCTGGATTCAGCTGGGCGGTTTTCATTATCATTTGGTTGTTTATTTCTTTTTTATAAAACAGACTTTGCCACCACCCGGTCATCTCCTGGCAGAAGCTGGCTGATTAGTTTGGGGCCACTTAAATCAACTTTAAGGGAATTTTACATTTGATCCAAGTCATAACTTCTCTATGTTGTGATCTGTCAGCACCTCCTAGCCATATCATTTTGCTCATTAGCCTTACCACTAAAAAGTTGGTGTAGGCCAGAAAAGAAGAAACTCCAGATTGGTCTGCTAACTACCTTCTTCACTGAAATTATACTTGATTGGGTGGAGAGGCCATTGGAAAGTGTTGACCAAAATGAAGTGTTTAAATCGTCCATTAATTTCAAATATCCAAATTCTCCCTATTCCCCCAGTGTGTCTCAATTAACTTGTTAAGCATTTATTAGGCTTCTGCTCATATTCAAGGCATGTGCTAGACGTTCAGGGGGATTACAAGGACAGACAAGTATAGGCACAATCATTCTATGGCTTAGAGTCTAGTACAGACAACTGGTATATAAAACAGGTTGGCTTAAGTGCACAAGAGTGGTGCAGACATGCTCAATAAGCATTTATTAAGCATCAGCTGTGTGCCAGGCACTGTGCTAAGTGCTGAGTATATAAACAAAAGCAAAAAACAGTTCAGGGAGCTCAGAGTTTAATGGGAACCAACACGCAAACAACTATGAACAAAGCAGACGTGCAAGATAAACTGGAGAGAATCATCAGAGGGAAGGCACTAGCGTGAAGTCATGGCACTGGTAGAACCAAGGAGGCCAAGAGATGAGGTCTGTCTTGGGGGAAATCAGTGAAGACTTGTAGAAGCATAGAACTTTAGAGCTGAAAGGGATCTCAGAGAGCTAGCTCCAGCTTTGTGGGGGAGGTGCATTTGTGTTGGGTCTTAGGGGATGGGCAAGATTTCAGTTGTCACAGATGTGGGAGAAGAGTATGATAGGTATGGTAAATGTTGTGAGTACAAGTACAGAGGTAAGAAATGATGGGATGTTTCTAGGAGATAACAGGTAGTTTGGCTGGGCTGGAGAGAATCTTGTTAAATGAGACTAGGAAAAAGCAGACTGAGAATAGATGGGGTTAGGGGTAGGGCTTTGCGTTGGGTTGGGGAGTTTGCAGAGTGGCTGATGTGTTTGTTTGAAGCTCAGTTGTGTGTACTGATCCCAATCTCTGTTGGAATAGATGATTCTGGAAAACCTTCGTCTTTCTTTGGACCAACATATCCCAACAGAGAGTATCGCCAAACAAGACGGATGCCCAGTAAGTGATTCCTCCTAAGGCTATACCCTGCTGTGCCTATGGTGATGCTTTTTGCTGAGGAAATGGCTAAGCCTGTTGGTAGGTGTTACTGGTAAGATGCTCATGGTTCTCTTTTCATCTCTTAAAAGGGGACAAGCCAGGGGACAAAGCAGAGCCCAAGCCACAGAAGCAGCAGCAAGAGAAAAGTGGGGTTACAGATGAGAGTAAGTAAACGTGGAAAAACAAAAAGCAATTGGGTTTTTGTTTGTTTCTTTTTGCCATCTCTACCCTGAGGAAGCGAAAAGAATTTTGCCTTGGCCAGTAGATGCTGGGTAATCATCCAGTTCAACCCTCTAATTTTGCCGATAAGGAAACAAAGCCAGAGAAATTTAGTAACTTGTCGGAGGACATAAGTACTAAGTAGCAGAGTGACTATTCTAACCCAGGTCTTCCAGTGACCTTTTATTTAAACTTTAGATTGAAATGTTTTCATGTTTGGGTTCGGGGGGGAAAATACTTTTCACTTTTGGATACATTTTATTGCTGCCTTTTGTTTTTGCATCACAGTAATTTCTGGAACATCCTTCCTCTTTCGTCCCCCAACCCTTCAAAATTGAACCCTCCCTTGTAACAAAAACAGACAAAACACCCAATTGTTTCAAGCAGAAAACACATTCCAAGTTACAAAAGCCTGACACAGGACCTTCTGGCCTCTGGATGTCAGTGCCCGTGTTTACATAGTACTTTACAGGCTGCAGCACATCCCAACAGCCCTGGGTCATTGAAGGATAGGGGACAGAACAGGGGGTGTTTAAGCTGGAGAAGAGGAGATAGGGGGTGATGTGAGAGTGCTTTTCAAGTTATCTGGCACGTGCATATGCATATAGCAGACTGCATATGATAAGATATACAAGATTCTTTCCTAGTAGATCCCTGTCTTTGCTGGGAGGAAGGAGGTAAGAATGTCACTTTCTTCTGAAGTATTTGAGAATTTGGTGGGGATACCTGTAGACCATAGAAAAATTTAAGAAGGGGCAGGGGGGTCAAAGAAAAGGAAAGAAAACTGAGTCACTGAAAGATTTTTTTTTAAATGCACAGAAAAGAACAGGACAGCCACAAGTAATCACAGATAAGCAAGAAAGCTTTGAGAGTTTAAATGTTGAATTTATTATGTATTTAAAAAGAAAAATGAACTCTATATAATAGAGATCTGCAATTTCATGTAATCCTTTTTTCTTTTCTACTATACGTATGGAAGTACCTTTTTATTCTATTTGTCAAGTTCAGAATTTTTTTAAAAAGAAAAATAGGTGGAGATTAATTGATGGGGGTAGGCAAGAGTCTCTTGTTTAAAATGTAAACGTGGAGTCAAAATTTAAAAAATATGTAGTAGCTTTACTTTTAATGTGCATGTGTATATATTATGAATTTCACCATGGGAACTATAAATAAAACAACCAGACCACGGGGAAGATGGGATCCTGAGTTAGGTCAGATGTGTGGTTATCCTTCAGAGCAGATAGGAAGGTAACTAGATAGATAAAGCATTTATTAACTACTTAAGAAAATCTAAAGGGTATTTTTTAAAAAAGAAATGAAAAAGGGGCAGCTAGGTGGCGCAGCAGATAAAACACTGGCCCTGAAGTCAGGAGGACCTGAGTTCAAACAAATCTGGCCTCAGACACATAACACTTAATCGCTGTGTGACCCTAGGCAAGTCACTTAACCCCAATTGCCTCACCCCCCCAAAAAAATCAAAGAAGGTATTAAGCTCGTTCTTTACAATTTTGCAACATTCATTTCCCCATGTTTTGTGACATTGTTGTATTTATTGTGTAAATTGTTTTCTTGGCTCTGCTTACTTCACTTTGCATCAGTTCATGTAAGTGTTTCCATACTTCTCTGTATATTTCATGCTCATCATTTTTTTTTGTTTTGGGGCTAGGCAGTAGGGTTAAGTGACTTGCCCAGGGTCACATAGAATGAGAACCTGAAGGGTAGAGTGGAACAGGAAAAAAGACACAGAAGAAAAAGGACATTAGTTTAGCCACCAAAAGAGACTATAGAGTCCATCTAGTCTAACTCCCTTATTTTACAGAAGAAGAAACTGAATCCCAAAGAATATAAGTGATTTTCCCAAGGTCACACACCTAATATTTATGCTGTGTATACTTATATGCCTGTACCTTACACAGTGCTTGAACATAGCAGATGCTTAAAAAATCCTTATTGATTGATATTTATATCAATTACCTATATATCTTGGACAGCAGACATATTTGTGGGAAAGATTTTTTTCTCTAATTAACAGCTTCTCTTATAATTCTTATTCAAATGCATTGATTTTCTTCATGCAAAAGCTTTTCAACTTTATGAAATAGTCCATTTTATCTTATATGATCACATTTCTCCCTTATTTAGGTGAGAATTCTTCCCCTAGTGTAATCCTTATGTTATGGTGTAAGATACTGGTCTGCATCTAATCTGCCAAATTACTTTCCAGTTTTCTCATTGTGATTCAGGGAGTCTTTGATACTAGGTGTTTTAGGTTTGTTGAACACTAAACCACTATGCAAGACTATTTCTGAGTCTTGTTGACCTTGTCCATTCCATTGATCAACTCCTTAATTTTTTTTAACTTGTATCAAATAATTTTGATTAGTGTTTTTTACTATAGTTTAAGATCTGGTAATGTTAGGCCTTCTTCATTCCTTTTTTTTTTGCATTTATTTTCTCTGAGGTTCTTGACCTTTTGTTCCATTAGATGAATTTTGTTATGTATCTAATTCAATAAAGTAATCCTGGGATACTTAGTTTGATATGACATTCAATCTATTAACTGATTTGGGTGCTATCATCATTTCTTGTTATGAAGATTGTTTCATATTTGTATTCATGCAAGTTCTGAGTGTGAATTGTTGAGTAGGTGTTAAGATTTTATACATTTTTGTAACTATATTGAATGGAATTTCTTTTTCTGTCTCCTGCTGGGTTTTGTCACTAATATAAAGAAAGTCTGGTTTTGTAGGTTTATTTTGTATTCTGCTGATTTCTGAACTTATAAATTGTTTTGATTAATATTTTCATTGAAGCCATCATATTATCTGCAAATAGAGATGATTTTGCTTCAGCTGATTCCTTCCATTTCTTTGTCTTTTCCCCCCCTGTTATGGCCAGCATTTCTAGACCTATATCAAATAGTAGTGGTGATGATGGCCATCTTTGCATTACTCTTGATCATATGGGAAAGCCTTCTTTCTAGTGTTTACACATTACAAATAATCTTGGGTTTTCATTTTATATAAACATTATTTATCAGAGTAATAACAGGTCCATTTAATTTTATGCTTTTTAGTGTCTTTGAAATAGATTTTTATGAACAATCTTTGTTTTAATGTCACCTAGTTTTTTTGTTGTTTAGTTGTTTCATTTGTGTCTGACTCCTCATGACCCCATTTGGGGTTTTCTTGGCAAAGATACTGGAGTGATTTGTCATTTCCTTCTCCAGCTCACTTTACAGGAAGCAGAGGAAAATAGGGTTGAATGACTTACCTAGGGTCACTTAACTACATCTAACTTGTACAACTCAATGGGGCCTGGAATTATGCTTAGATAAGCATCTAATATAGGTCAGATTTGAACTCAGATCTTCCTGACTTCAGGTGGGCTCTCTATCCACTAGCTCCCCGCATAGATTTACCCAGTGTGTTTCTTCCCTTTCCATAGAGCTATGCCATGTAACAAATAATGTTTTTAAGAAGCAGAGAAGAAAAAATTTCAGCAAAACCGACTAATACAAAAACCAAACCCTGATGTTATATACCCATAGACTCCCATTCCCACCCTCATCTCTGCATAGGAGCAGAGGGAGTGTCTGTTTCTCACATCTCTTCTTTGGTATTAAGCTTGTTCTTTACAATTTTGCAACATTCATTTTCCAATGTTTTGTGGCATTATTGTACTTATTGTGTAAATTGTTTTCTTGGCTCTGCTTACTTCACTTTGCATCAGTTCATGTAAATGTTTCCATACTTCTCTGTATTTTTCATGCTCATCATTTTTTTTTTTGTTTTGGGGCTAGGCAGTAGGGTTAAGTGGCTTGCCCAGGGTCACACAGCTAGTAAGTGTCAAGTGTCTAAGGCTGGATTTGAACTCAGGTCCTCCTGACTCCAGGGCCAGGTGCTCTATTTGCTGTGCCACCTAGCTGCCCCTCTTATCATTTCTTATAGCACAGAAGATCCCATTCTATTTAGGCACCATAAATTGTTTAGTCCTTCTGCAGTTGGTAGGCACCTACTTTCTTTCCACTGCTTTGCTACCACAGAAAGTACTGCTGTAAATATTTGATTGGTTATAGAGCCTTTATATTTGTCAGCATCATTGTCATCTTTTGAATTCTTCAGTTTTTTTTATTTAAAATATCTTAATGCAGAAAATTGTATTTTTTTTCAGAACAGGAAAAGAAACCTAAAAAACCTAGTAAGTATAAGCAACTTCTGTACCTCTTCTCCCTCCCCCACAACGCAACACAAACTTAGTGCTGCAAGCTTGTTTCTTGGGCTCACAGCCTGGAACCTTAGTCAGTAACTCCAGGATATGGTTGTTTCCCTCCCCCCTCCACCACCTTTCAGTATCTTCCTAGGTGTTCTGATTACAAACGAGCCATATAGTTGGGACCAGATGGGTTTTGCCCCTGGCATTATGTCTGTGTTTAAATGATTTAAGCCCAAGTTATTTTTAAAAAGCAGATAAGGAATGAGTCGACCAAGTCCTGCCCTGTCCTTCCTGCACATCACCAATTTAATTTTCTCCTCACTTAGCATCTGCTACTGCAGCCACCCCCAGTCTGAATCCCAGTGTAGGATCTGTGACAGACTTAACAAAATTAAAACCAGCCCTCCTAGAGAGTAAGTACTCTTGGGAATGGGGAGATGTGTGCTCTTGCCTTTTGAATGTCTTATCCTGAATTTATTTCGAAACAATGACAGATTTCTCCTCTGTAGCTATAGAAAAAGCCAGTGCCTTACCAAAGAATTCACCAAATCGGAAGACACAAGTACTAGAGGCCTTCTTGGCAAAGTCCAGACCAGAGCTCCTGCAGTGTAAGTGCCATTATCAGTGGGGGAAATACCTGGGATTGTAGGATCTACAGCTGGGAAGGTCCTTAGAGGTCATCTCATCCACCCCTTTACTTCCCTTACCCTCTACTTCCATTTTAAAGATGGGGGAAATGAGGCTCAGAGAGGGATCATAACATTACAGATTTAGAGTTACAAGAGACTTTAAAGTTCATCGAGTCCAAACCCTTTTATTTTACAACTTGGAAAAAAAAAGATTTCTAGAGAAGGGAAAGGACTTGCCCAAGATCACATAGTGAGTAATGGAACCTAGGATTTGATCCCAAGTCATCTTCAAGCTCCAAATTCAGGGCTCTTTCCACTGTACTATATTGCCTCTCACATGTGGTAGATCTCACTTAGTTTTGAATGTCTTTTCAGTGAAAAGTTATTGGACTCCTATCACACTATTAAGGATTTGGCCTTATTAATATAATTAACAAAGAAGCATTTATTAATAATGGCTAGAGGAAAAGATGGCTGATATTGGTCCCAATATATGCTGTCTCCAAATATAGGCTGTATCCCCTAAATGACATCTATAGTAAGGAAAAGCATGTTTAAAAAAGTTACATAAAATTATCATATATTTTTTTAAAAATAGGCTTTTTGGTTTATTATATTTTGTTATATTTTAATCATTACTTCTCTCCTCCTTGTAGTGATACAGAAAAGAGAACACTAGCTCTGGGTGTGACTTTGGGCAAATTACTTTAACTGCCCAAGACCCCAGTTTTTTCATCTGTAAAATAAGGACAAGATGGCCTCCAAAGTCCCTTCAACTCAAGTCTCAGATTCTATGATCTTAATCACTTTCATTGTTGTCTTCTTAGATTTAGAGCTGGAAGGGGCCTTGAGAGGTTAATTAATCCAACCTCTTCATTTTGTAGATGAGGAACTGAGGCTCAGAGATGGACAGTGACTTTAAGGTCATGCAAGTAGTAGGAGATCGAGGCAGGATTTGAACTCAAATACCCCAACTCCAAACCCAGTGTTCTTTCCACTCTATGAAATTGATTCTTACCTCAGTTGATGCTTATCTCAGCATAATTCCAGGCTCCATTGAGTTGTACAAGTTAGATGTAGGAGCAAAATCTAGGCTCTGTTTAGACTAAAAGAATATTACCTCCATTTTACCAATGACAAAATGAAGGCCCAAAATAGGTTAAGTAGCTTACCCAGGATCAGCCAGTCAGCCAACAAACACTAATTAATTAATTAATTAATTAATGTTTTCACTAAATATTTATTAAGTGAATACTACGTTGGCAACATTTGCTAAGCATTGGGGATGCAAAAAAAGACAAAAAGACAGTCCCTGACCTTAAAGAGCTCACGATCACCATATAGTATAGTGGCAGTTAGGATTTGAATCCAAAATGAATAATAATAATAACAACAACACCACCACCACATATAGTACTTTAAGGTGTACACAGGCTTCATTTAATTATCTCATTTGATTCTCATAATAACCCTATAATGTAGGTATTATTATTACACACACATTGATATGTATATATATACACATATAATTATGCCATAATATATGCAATATGTATATATATATATATATATGCGCAAACAATCCAGCTCTTGAAATGTTAGCTGCCATTACTGTCCCTAGTTTACATATGAGGAAACCAAAGTTAGGAATTTAAGTGACTTTTCCAGGGTCACACAATTCTTAAATGTCTTAGACTGGATTGGAGCTCCAGGCTTCCTGGCACCAAGTCTGCTGCTCTGTTCACTCCATTACCTAGATTCATGGCATGGTACCAAGTCCTTCCTCTTTAGGAGCTGATAATCTAATATTGACTTGGTGGTGTTTGTTAAAATGGAAAGAGCACTGAAAAATCCTGGTGACCTGGGCTTGAATCTTGGTTCTGTTGTTTACCAACTGTATGCTCTTGGGAAAGTTAACTTCCCCTATCTGGGCCTCAGTTCCTGTTCAAGAATTGATAACAATAATAATAGCTAATGTTTATAGAGCTCTTGCTATGTGCTAGGCACTGTGCTGAACATTTTACAATCATTATCTCATTTGATCTTAAAAATTCTGGGCAATAGGTGCTATTATTATCTCCATTTTACAGAAGAGGAAACTGAGGCAAACAGGTTAAGTGATTTGCCCAGGGCCACACAGCTAGGAAGTGTCTGAGGCCAAATCTGAATTTGAATTCCAAATCTTCCTGACTCTTGGCCCAGTGTTCCATGATAAAATGAGCGGATTGGCCTAGATGACCTTCCAACTCCCATAGAAAGCATGGAGAAGTAAAAACAAACAAACAAACAAAAAAACTGCCAGTTAATTTTAGGTCAAGTTGCTAGATTAGTATATTGAGGGTAAAAAAAGATATATAATTGGGCAGGAGTATGGAGATGGGAAAGCAAAACTCTCCTGAACTCAATCTGAAAAAGCTTTTCAAAGAGAGGGGATTTCAAGAGTTATTTGAATGATGGAGGAAGAGTGGTTGAGCAGGGAGGGGTTGGAGGATCGTGTTTCACCATGTCAAAGAGGCTTCTGTTTACTCTTTTTAGTTTGTTCTTTGCACTTTTCCTACCCAAGAGTTTTGTCTCTATAGATGCTACTCGAGTGGTTCTGAATTACAACACCGCCAACCACAAAGTGGCCTTGTCAGAGAACAACACTGTAGCAACCGTGGCCACTGTCCGCCAGCCCTACCCACCCCACCCTCAGAGATTCACCCACTGCTCTCAGGTGCTTGGCCTGCAGGGTTACGATTCGGGAGTCCATTACTGGGAGGTGGAGCTGCAGAAGAACACCTTTTGTGGCATTGGCATCTGCTATGGGAGCATGGATCGTAAGGGTTCTGACAGCCGACTGGGCCGCAACTGCTCCTCCTGGTGCGTGGAGTGGTTCAACACCAAGATCTCCACTTGGCACAACGATGTGGAGAAAAACCTGCCCCTCACCAAGGCCACCAGGATTGGTGTGCTCCTGAATTACAATGACGGCTTTGTCATTTTCTTTGCCATCACAGATAAAGTTAACCTTATCTATAAGTACAAGGCAGAGTTTTTGGAAGCAGTGTACCCAGCCTTCTGGCTGTTCTCCAATGGTACCACTCTATCTATCTGCCCACTGAAATAGGAAGTAGTTTTACTTAAAGGGTGGGACCCCGGTGTTCACACTCCATCCAACTCAGGTTACATCCTGTGATGAGTTCGAATAACTATCCTCTGAGCTAAGGCTGTCTGGTTATAGGAGAAGCAATCTACTCCCATACCATGATGGCATTCTTCTTTGGATCATTTTACAGATAATTCCGTGTGAGGTTGGGAAGTGGATTTGGGAAGGGGAAGTACATTCATGTTGATAGTGGGGGAGGATGGCACTTAGGGTTCAGTTAAGCTGAATTTTAAGGCCTAAAATCACCTTCTCATTAGGTAATATGACCTCTCAAAGTTGTACTGGCCAGTGCTGGTAATACCAGGCCATTGGGCAGTTCGCAGAGGCTTAGATCAATGCTAACCCAATCCCTAGAAAAGTATGAGTAGTACAGGCTGTCCTACTGGGTTGCACCCTGAGGGTTGGGTTTAGCTTATGTGGTATAACCTTGCCATCCTTCCTTTCTCCTTCCAACCCTAACTCTCATGATTATCTTCATCTTTTTGATTTTTTAAAGTAGTGATGTAGAAAGAGAAGCATTTGATATTGGGACCTTGATGCCAACCTCCTTCCCCACCCCCAACCCCAGTAGTTTTAACTCATAAGCCAAAAAATTTCAAGAGCTTTGCTGACTAGTCATGTGCTGCTATTGTGGTAAATTATAGTAACTTGTTATTGCATAGGGAAGAGGAGGCTATATATTTTCACGTCCTAAGAGAAGAAATTCTTCAATAATTCTTTACCGAGGATTAAAATTTTAAAAAAGAAATCATTCTTTATTTTATCTTTGTAGAGGGGAGAAAAAATATCCCTGGAGGTAGTTTTTAAAACTTTCCAAGGATATCAGGATCTTAGATATGGCTCCAGAGGGGATTATAATGATCATTTAGCCTAGCCCTTTCATTTTATAGATAAAGAAACTGGGACCCAGTTAATCTATTACTTGCTCAAGGTTATACAGGCCATGAACTGAGCAAGGACTGGAACCCTAATTCTTTTTCTCTAAACCCAGTACTCTTCTGCTATAGCAGGCAGAACTAGATCCTTTGTCACTGTATGTGGCCTTCTAAGATGAGAATAATTATTATTTTCCTTTCTGACTGCCCAGAGCATCCCTTATCCAATCCAAGGCTCTAAAGTCAGGTCCAAAGTGAACTAATGGGCTGTGGAGGGGATGGTCTCTGGCTTTGGATAAGCCAGGCCTCAGCTTCTGAGTTCTTAGTCAAGTGTCATCATTTGGGGAAGCTTTGACTACCACTCCCTTGCCTAAGGCTCACAGTTGCTACAGCTGACTGAGACCTTTCCTGTCATGGTACATGTTTACCGGAGGAGAAATAGCACTGGTGTTGATCCCAGGCTCTTGGAAGCTCATTAATCTTTCTTCCTCCCCTCTAACCTGAGTTTGTTTAAAATGATAACCATGGTTTTGCCGATGCTTTTCATCTCTTTCATTTGTGAATAACTCTTTTTTGTCTATATTATCTCAATGGACTAATGAGTTATTGGCAATATGTAGACACAGTTGGTCTTGGAAAAAAAACCAGGTATGTATAATGTCTGAATCTTCCATGTGATTGTGTCTCTAAGAGACTGCATCCTAGTAATGTTGGGGTGCTAGACAAGAACACGTATTTGAAACTTCAAACTCGACCCCCCCAAAAAGAAAAGAGGTAGGCATTCACTTGAATTGAGGCCATAGGTATCATAAATTTTGAGCTGAAAGGCATTGTAAATGTTGTGAAGTCCAACCTCCTCATTTTACAGATGAGGAAACTGAGGCATATAGAATTTAAGTGTCTTGCGTAGAGTCATACAGCTACTTAGTGTCAGAGGCAGGATTTGAACTCAGATTTTCCCTGAATTTCAAGTCTAGTGCTCTAATAATTATACCACGTCAGTCTCCAGATTTTTCTTTTTTATTCCTTCCTCTTTGAACTTGGGTTGTCTACATTATCTAGTATGGCATTTCACTCCTCTCAAAACCCCCCAAACTAATTTGGCCGCAGAATGCTTTGGGATTTGAAATGCTAGCCTAGAGGTAATTAGAGGTTTGGGAGGATCCCAAGAGAAAACCATGGAACAGAAATAAAGGAAATTGTCAATTTTCATACTGGAAAATTATTGTCTATAATAGGTATTTCTGATACATAGATGTTTTCACATTTGATGTATTTTTCTTAAGAGGGGAAAATATCATTATCAGTGAAAGCATTTCACAGAAACCTCTATCCATGTCCTGTGTAATAGTTCAGGACGTGCTGGTCTAATAACTTGCACAGAACCTGTCACAAACATAAAGGTGTGGACTCATCTTCCCAATGATCCGAAGTAATGACATGGGTTTTGTGGTATAGTTAGGCCTCAGGATCCCAAGGGAAACTGTTTTTACACTTCTTTAGACACTGGAAGGAAAGTTCTGGAGTCACCCTCTCAACTTTTAAAGTCCTTCTTAGGTCCTCTGGGACGGAAGGCTTGCCATGAGCTTAATTTTAGAAAGCCTGATTCCTAAGGAGAGAGAACCTCTCCTGTTCTCTTGCCCCAGATACAGTAGCAAAGAGTTGTGTCTTCTTGGCAAGACCCACCACTATTTCTCTACATAGAGTTGCTCTGTTTGTGAGAAAATAATAAAGCAGAATTACTCTGTTTGGAAGAGATTAATTGATACAAATGGTTGAAACTTCTGTACGTATGTATAAATGCAACATCTTAACAAGAGCTCTGGGACGTGTGAACTTCTACTTAGTTCGTTTTCTCTGAGAGCTTTAGTTGGGGAAAAGAAGGCCTCTAGGTCCCTTTCCTTATGTTATAAGGATAAATAACAAAAATGTGTAGAATAGAAAAACATGCTTTGGGGGAGACTAGCCTTGGTGATGCTGAGGGCAAATGAGAAGGAGGTGACCACTAGGCTCCCACCTCCTTAAGCAAGAAGATAATGCAGGATCAGGTTTCTCCCTAATATTTGTTGACCCAAAGTGTAATTGACAGACGAAACTCCAACATGTTTTTGGTTTCTTTTTTAAATATCACACCAAGCACGCTCTGGTGTTTAGGATCTCAGTGTTGGGAACCTTCCCAACTGGAGGCTTTGAGCTATTGTGATTGTATTCTAGCTTTTCCTTCAACGTAAATGCCACAGAGCAGCAGGGGCCAGGACCATGGGGACGTGAGGGACCATCATTTTGTTCCTATGCTTAAAAAACAAGCTAATTGTCGTAAGAAGGTGTGGTTGATTAAGGAGGAAAGGGCTGCTTGAGGCCAGCCAATTATACCCTCCATATTACCACCCCATGATTACTAATGCTACAAGCAGGAGCAAAATATCGTATACATTCTCACAGAGCCACTCTATTGGTTGTTTTTACTTAACTGGTTTTCCTGATAAGGAAATGGATAGCAATCTATTACTTAGCGTGATGTAGCAAAAGTTACGAGCTAATAGCATCATAAACCTAGAAGTAGAAGGTCCTCAGAAACCATCTCATTTAACCTTTCCATTTTAGAGATGAGGCAAATGAGGACAGGCAAGTGAAACAATTTGCTCAAGATCACAGAGGTAAAAAGTGTCAGAGGTGGGATTTGAACCCAAGCTCTGAACACAGAGCCAGTGCTCTTGTCATTGTCCCCTGCTGCCCCTTGTCATGTTTTTGCCTTTGAATTCTCAGTGCTTCATACATAGTAAATGCTTAATAGTTGTGAAATTGAATCTGTTTTTTTATCATTGATTACTTTGAGATGGATCTCTAGCCTATAATGAATCCTTACTCTGCAAATTTTCCTCTATTGATCTCCATTGATAATTGTAGAAGCTGTAGAAATTGATTTTTCATGTACCATGGGAAATGCCTATCCTGTGGTTATCTGACATAACCATGCCTTTGAACCTGAGTCCAATAAAATTGCATCAAAATAGAATTCAATAAAGTTGTATCATGTCAGAAATGGACTATGGCTGTTTTTTTTTTTTTGAACTATCAGTGTATGTTGGAGGGGTGGGGCTCTGAAACATTATGGACAAACAACATGAACCATTAGGGAAAAACAAATGTCCTCCAAAGTTATTCTAAATGTACTTTCTTGTAATATGTAAAACAATATAAGCCTTTTAGAAATGGAGGGGAAAGAGGGATGTGGTGATGTATGTCTGTGATTCCTGCCACTGGGTGGCAAGGAGGCTAATGGGTCTCTTGAGCCTGGTCATTCTGAACTGCAGTAGGACTAAAGGTGATTGGCTGTTCACAGGTCAGAAATAGGGCAGGAAGAAGGGAGAGAGAGGGAGAGACATAAGGGGAATGGAGGATGAGAAGGAGATGAGGGAGGGGGGAGGATAGCAGTGGGAGAAAAGTTACTAAGTTATTCATACCCTTTGACCCAGTGATCCACTCCCACTTGTGTACTGTAGGAGGTCAAGGATAGAAAGTTCCCACATGACCAAAATCTTCCTGACACTTTTTGAAGAAAGAACTGGTAAGAAAATGGGTGCCCATTATCTGAAGAATGGCTGAACAAAATGGCATGCGAATGGAATATTATGGACCATGTGAAATAAGCACTATAAGAAATGATGAATGTTAGGAGTTTAGAGAAATATCAGAAGCCTCTGAATTGATGCATGAGTGAAATAAGCAGAACCAAAAGAATGAGGCATGCAATGACCACAACTATAAATGAACACTGAAAGGAAGCCAAATGCTGAGTTACTGAGTCTTGATTTTAGAGAACAGATGAAATAGCTCCTTTGGCAGACAGGTGAGAGAGTATTGGGGCAAAATATTGTATACATGGTCATACAAAGTCACTGTTGTTTTTGCTTAACCTTTTTCTTAAAAGGATATTTTGGGGAGAAGGGGAGGGATATCTAGAAATAACTGATTTTCAAACAAAGAGCATTAGTAAAATATTTAACATGGGTAGCTAGGTGGCACAGTGGATGGAGCGCCAGCCCTGGAATCAGGAGAACCTGAGTTCAAATTCGGCCTCAGACACTTACTAGCTGTGTGACCCTGGGAAAGTAACCTAACTTTGCCCCAGTTTCCTCATCTGTAAAATTCACTGGAGAAGGAAATGGCAAGCCACTCTAGTATCTGTGCCAAGAAAACCCCAAATGGGGTCACAAAGAGTCAAACATGACTGAAATAACTGAACAATGACAAAATATTTAAAAGAACTAGAAGGAAAGAGAGGGAAAAAAAGATCCTTGCATCCCCTTTCTTTCTCTTATGTTCACCTCCTGCCCTGAGTACTCAACTGACTGGTAGCAGAGCAAATAATGTCTCACTGATAGGCTTGTTTTCAGACAGCCATTGAAGTATCCCTGATTTAAAGACTGTCCTTTAGACTTTCACTGGCAGCCACTCTCTCCCATTAAAAGGTTCAAAGACAGTGGTTTCTGAAACTTATTCAGTGAGGCAGAATTGGTAACTTGTGAGGAACTGAAGAGGAACTAGTTTAAGAAGTCAATTTGTGGTTCACTTCTACTGACAACTGTTGAGGGCCCACATCTTTCTACTGTCTTGTTTCCTAGGCAGCAATCCCACAATACCATTACATCATAATGTTGGAATTGAACCCTTTATTGCACTTTGTGTGATAAATGAATCTATATCATTTTGAGGCATAACAATTTCATTTATATAATATATAGGTAATTATGTTCATGAATCCAGGGAGTGGTAAAGGGAGGAGAAGACATTAAAATGAAAAAGGCTATTGAAAAAGGATAGGTTGGGGAGCAGTTCATGAAGGGGAAAATCAATCAACAAGTATTTATGA